TTATTTTCAGGGAAGTGGATTTAATTGGAAGCTATATTGAGGAAGATAACACAAGCTATTATATGTCTTTGCTCATTTGTAGAAGCTAAACCTAAAAATATAGATATTCATGAATATTCATGAACAAAAATATATAATACTTGTATAAATAATTAGATAGATAGAGATAAACACAGAACATAAGTCTAAATAAAGGATTGCTTAAGAGAAGAGGAAGGAAAAAGGTAAAAAAGACTTTTTTTTTGGAGGAGGGGTAACAACGCTCAATGGGAAATGTACTCATTACCTTACTCGTGTAACTGTAACCTCTCTGTCCAGTATCTTTACAATTAAAAAAAATCCACAAGCCTATCAGCTTGGTGATAGTTTTAGTATCTAATGTGTTGAAGGACACCCCAGTGTGAAAGAACCAGTAAGCACCCTCTCCAACAGTGTAACAAGGATGTCAGCCTAAGCAGCTTTTGCACTCCAGTGTTCCACCCTTTTCTTCTACCTCCTGTCCAGCCCCCACACCTTCCCCTCATTCTCCTTTCCCAAGCACAGTCAACATGTTTTTAACTGACCTAGAACCTAGACTGGTTTGGTCTGCTAGGTGTACCGATTAACTATGCCCTGAACTGCTTCCATGTTTCAGTTCTAGAATTCCTGTTTGGTTGACAGGTTTTGTTCAAATATGCCTTGCCACCTTTACAGTTTCTAATTCCAGTTTACACTTTGGTTTTCATTTCCTGGAGCATTTCAGGCATAACAGCTCTAGGATCTATGTCTCAAAATGCCAGCACGTGGAGTCCACATGGGTGTAGTTCTATTGCCTGTTGCTTCTGCTGCTTCTGTCTTTCATTTCCACATGTATCTTATTATCTCTGACACTTGGTCAAATACTGAATTTTAAAAATAAATCATAGATAAAGGGAAAAAAAGGTAAAAAAGAAAACTAGAAGGTGTATTCTGCAACTGTATTCGAAAACCTCACTGAAAACTGTTGATCAGTAGGAACTTGGGGAACATGGAAAGAGAACCAAGCTCAGATGGGGTTGGGTACTAGGACAAGGAGATTAGGGCTAACAGGAGTGGAAGAGGATGGATATTGTTGAAATAGATTGTCAATACATATGAAAATAGAACAAATAAACCTCTTGAAAATGTATTAGGAGCAGGGAAGAAGGAGAAGGAGAGTGGTGTGGGGGAGTGACTGAAATACTGTGGTATATGTGTGTGTGGAAGTGTCCAAATGAAACCTCTCCCTGTGAAGCTAATGTAGGCTCACTTTTTAAATACGATTGGATTTAAATTGCCTATATTTTAGTTAGGATTTTTCTTCTTCATAATCATAAGTAACAATGGGCAGTAATTTTGTTGTGAGATATTTGTCTAATATCTCACCTTTTATCTAATATTTGTCTAAGAAATCTCTTAGGTTTCCAGACTCTTAAATGCCTTGGATATTTTCATATAGAATTATCTCGTAAGTACTTATGAAAACTGTCACACCTGTTTCTTTTTTGTGTTACTGGGCCTGTGGCTTTCTAGGCCACCATACTACCACTTCAGTCACTCAATTTTGTACTGGTTATTTTTCTGTGCCCACACAGTCCTAAAGAGCTTCCCTGTATCACTGGGATGGCAAACACATGTCACACATCCAGCCATCATCAAGGTGGAATCTTCAAAACTTTTTGCCTGAACTGGCCTGGAACTCTGATCTCTGTTCCACAAGTAACTAATGTGATAGGCTTGAGCCACTGTACTAAGCCTATAACATTTTCTTCTTTAGAGTTAAATCTTTTTTTTTTAAGAGTTAAATCTTTTGACTACCTTTTTATACTGGTCTTTTTTGTTGTTGCTTTGTTTTGTTTTATGCCAGTTCTGGGACTTAAACTCAGGGTATAGACACTGTCCCTGAGCTTTTTTGCTCAAGGTTAATGCAGTATCACTTGAGCCACAGCTCCACTTCTAGCTCTTTGGTAGTTAATTGGAGGAAGGGTCTCAGAGATTTTCCTACCCACGCTGACTTCCAGCTGTGATCCTTAGATTTCGGCCTCCTAGGATTACAGGAATGAGCCACTTGAAGAAGTTGGTCCTTTTTATTCTGTAAATTTGAGTTGATTTTACTTGTTTATATGTATAAAGAAACTATAAGACACTTCTGGTGTCTCAGAGCTTTCAGACCAAGAAACACAGGTGCCAACTGCTTTACACAGACAGACCAAGAGATGGTGAAACACATTGTGAAACCTCAGTTCCTTGCAGACCTTGAGGAAATGAGGAAATTCTGAGAAGTCTCTTGACAAACTTCAGTGTGCTGCCTGCCGTCTGCTCCCCAGACAGTGGAAGGAAGGGCTGAAAAATCTCTCTTTACTTCCCCTCAAATCAAATGAAGCATTTCAAAGAACACCCCTACGAGCTTGTTGTGTGCCCCTTGGCATTTTCATGGCACAGTTTGGAGGCTTTCTGTGTCCACTGGGAATAGGAGAGAAGGCTTCACAGAAAGCAGTCAGAGGAGCCCAGGTGATCCTCAGACAAAATTGTTGGTGTTCAGTCATCTTGAAAGGATTAAAAATTGTGGCGATCATCACACAATGTAGATTCATTGATAAAATCATTATGTTGTACAACTGCAATAAATTAAATCTTTATTTGACATTGATATTTTAACATGATAATTAAAAAGTCAACAGATTAAGGACTAAGGGGAAAAGAGTTGTGTGCAACCTCATCGTTCAGGAAAAGAATAAGAATTATTGTAGATATCATCTCTTGTGAACAGAACCTATTCAATAAACAGGTTCAATACATTTTTCTGGGTAATCATTTCCTCTAAATTTCTAAGTATGTTGCTAGAAGTCTACATAGTGTTTTCTTTTAAACATTAAGAATCTCTGTAGTCACATCTGCTTCTTGCTCTTTCTAATATTTGTTCTCTTCTTGAAAAGATCTGGTTTAGAGGATATGTTAACATTTTGAAAGATAAGATTTTAACTATGCTGTTCAAACCTATGTGTTATTTTTGTGATTTAAGTTCTATCTTTATTGAGTCTTTTCTCTGTGCTTATTTGATAAGGCTATTTTTTTCTTTTTTCTTTTTCCAGTCCTGGGGTTGGAATTCAGGGCCTGGACTCTGTTCCTAAGCCTCTCTATGCTGAAATCTAGCTCTCTACCACTTGAGCCACAGTACCACTTCCATTTATTTCTGTGTATGTGGCACTGAGGAATTGAACCCAGAGCTTCATGCATGCTAGGCAAGCATTCTACCACTTAGCCACATCCCCAGCTCTCAAGGCTATTTTTTTTTTTTTCTGGAGTTTAATTCCCCTGCTTTCCTGATTTGTCAAACGTTAAAAAAAAAATCTTTCTAGCTTTCTAATATTTACTATTAAGATCCTATTTTCATTTGATTACTGTTTTATTTTCATATTTAAATTTATTTTTGACTGAAAATTAGAGAGATACTTTTTCCTCTTCCCCTTCCTTCCTTCTTTCCTTCCTCTCTTCCTTCTTTCCTTCTCATCTTCCCTTTCCTCCTATCCTGCTTCCATCCTTCTCTCCTTTCTCCCTCCCTTCCTCCCTTCTTTTCTGTCTCCTCCCTTCTCTCTTCCTTCCACCCACTCTCTTTTAACAACTTGTGAATGTTATTAGGCAGATGTTGCATGCCTAGCATACATGGTTTATTCGAGTTTTTCTTTTATATAGTGATAGGTAACATGGTTTTAGTTTTGCTTTGAACTAATAAATATAATCAAAGTTTTAAGCCTCTGGACCCAATGTTATTTATGGCTCTAAGAAGTTTTGGTTCAAACAGCAAATTCTCCCTTTGATATTCTCTGTTATCTTTTAGGCCATTTGGGCTTTATAGCAATGTTGATAATGATGGTCATCAGTTTTATTAAAATGATATCCAGTGTTCTTTGAACCAGTATAATAACTATACAGTATTTTCTTCAAGATTAGTTGAGCCTACATTTTGAGACTATGTCCCCTATGCCTAAAGCAAAAACATTTCCCAGAAGCTTCAGTGACAGAATGCCAGGACTTCTAAAGTGACTTTTGAAGTCTCATACAGGATTGTCATTGTAGAAATGGAAGTTGTGTACTCATTGGGTAAAGTTAAAAATAGAACCTTGGAAGGGAATTAGAGAATTGATGACATGTGAAACTGCAACTGCCTATGCAGATCTCAATATATTCACATACTATGGGACTCTAATCACATCCTACCAATGAGACACATTCTTATCTCTGGATAATTATTCTACTTTTACTGATTCTCCTTCTTATAAGACCCACATATTTGGCACACCATGCCTTGTTGTGAATACTGCTTTTCAATTTATCTGAAGATAGTTCATTATCCCACTAATTGTCTATACCTCGCCTATAATGGCTAGTGAGTGGCACAAGTGCTATTTTTGAGAACTTTACCTGTAACAATTGCTAATTCATGGAGGCTCTGGTACATTGATTACACTGTGTTACACAGCTTCAGAGCTGCCCAACACTTTCCTCCCCCACCCTTTCTAACCCTGTACACATTCCCACAGCCAGGTAGAGTTTACTGCTTTCTACACCTACTCAGACATATTCTGGGTTTCACTAATTCATAGAAATTGTGTGTGTGTGTGTGCGCATGCACACATAAGTCCTGGGGTTTGAACTCAGGGCCTAAGAGATGTCCTTGAGTATTTTTGCTCAAAACTACTGCTCTACCAGTTGAGTCACATCTCTATTTCTGATTTTTTGGAAGTTCATTAAAGATAAGAGTTTCACAGACTTCCTGCCTAGGCTGGCTTCAAACCATGATTATCAAATCTCAGCCTCCTGAGTAGCTAGGATTACTGGTGTAAGCCACTGATGCCCAGCTAGTCCACTGAAATTTCAGTGATTGGCCACAAAAAAAGTAATTCTATATGGCTTTCATATTCTATAGCATTAAGACTAAGTTGAGACATAATTGTTTCATCTCTTGAAATACTATCAGTAAACACAGTGAATATCTTACTTACATAACTGACGCTTGGATATTGTTGGATGTTCTCTAGCCTACATCCACCCTCTGTCCACAGAGCAATCATGGTGATGTAATTTTATGATCTAATGGGTAGAAAGCAATTATGACTATTAGAAAAAAATTAATAAAAGTAACACATTAGAAATAATAGTTAAAGCCAGGCATGTAGTAGCTCATGCTTGTAATCCTACTCAGGAGACTGAGAACTGAGGATCACAGATAGAAGACAACCTATGCAGAAACAATCCCTGAAATTCTTATCTACAATTAAGCACCCAAACAGGCAGAGTGGAGCTGTGGCTCTAGTGACAGAGTACTAGCCTTGAGCAAAAAGCTCAAGTACAATGCCCAGCCCTGATTTCGAGCCCTAATAACCCCCCTTCCCCCACATACACACGTACACATATGCCGTAGTGCGGTTTGTTCTTATGTGGCTATAGCTCAGATTTTCCCACAGATACTTTCCAACATACTACTAAAATTTCTTTCTTTCCTTTCTTTCTTTTCTTCCTTCCTTCCTTCTTTTCTTTCTTTCTTCTTTCTTTCTTACCTTTCTTTCTTTGTTTTTTCCTCTTTCTTCTTTCTTTCTTTCTTTCTTTCTTTCTTCCTTTCTTGTACTGAACTCAGGGTCTTAAACATGCTAAGCATGTGCTCTACTACTGAGCTAAACACAATCCCAATATCTTGATCTTTTCTTTGTGCCAGTCCTGGGACTTGAACTCAGGCCTGAGAGCTATTTCTGACTATTGTTGCTGAAGACTAGTGCTCTACCACTTGAGCTACAGCTCCACTTCAGACTTTTTTTTAGCAGTTAATTAGAGCTAAGAGTCTCATATACTTTCCCACCCAAGATGGCTTTGAACTGTGATCCTTAGCTTCCTGATTAGCTAGAATGGCAGCTACAGTGCTCAGCTTCTTAACATTTTTATCATTCCTCATATATAGGCTACCTTATAAGAAAAGGGTGTTGTGCATTCAATTTTTTCTCAGTGTAAAGGTTTCTCAGTCAGTTATCAGTCTTGCCACTTCCCGGTAAAGAGAAGAGTCCCTCATTCTCAATGCTAACATGGAACTTCAACTTACTTCATATTTCTCTCTCTCTTTTTTTTTTCAGACCAGGACTCCAACTCAGTAGCTGCCACTTTCACTCAGTTCTACAAACTGAGCCACTCCTCTACCTCTGGAACTTCAACTTTAAAGCACAGTTATTTTCATGAAGAGAAAGAATTATGTTTAACATACAGAAAAAGAGACTCAAAGGATTGACTTAAAATAATTTTAAATTCTTAACCTGTAGCCTTCATCTGTGTAATTTGGTATTAGTTAGCTCCCCATTCTCCAGTTGTGACTTCGTTCTTTTTTTTTTTTTTTTTTTTGTCGGTTGTGGGGCTTGAACTCTGGGCCTGGGCGCTGTCCCTCAGCTCTTCAGCTCAAGGCGAGCGCTCTACCACTTGAGCTACAGCGCCACTTCCGGTTTTCTGGTGGTTTATTGGAGATAAGAGTCTCACGGTCTCTCCTGCCCGGGCTGGCTTTGAACCGCGATCCTCAGATCTCAGCCTCCTGAGTAGCGAGGATTACAGGCGTGAGTCACCAGCGCCCGGCTTGTGACTTCGTTCTTATATCACTTGGAAAAAGGCAAGTTGCCTTTCTAAGCTAAATCTGTTTTTTGCAACATATTTAAGTAATGAGTTTGTATTCTGGTTTATTCAGTAGGTTATCATCAAATTGTTTTCTTGGTTTGTGTAGATTATAAAGCCTAAGCCCAGAGCCGGTGACTCACACCTGTATTCCAGCTACTTAGGAGACTGAGCGGATCTCGGTTTGAAATCAGACCAGATAAGAAAGTCTGTGAGACTCTTTCCTCCTTAACTACAACACACACACACATAGACACACACAGACACACAGACACACATACACACACACACACAGAGCTGGAAATGGAGCTGTGGCTTAAATGATAGAGCACTATCCTTGTGCAAAAAAACTTCAGGACCAGCACCCAATCCCTGAGTGCCCCAGGATTGGCACACACACACACACACACACACACACACACACACACACACACACACACACACATTCATAAAGTCTAAGCAAATAAAAAGTTAAATTCGAATCCAAATGTTGAATGATAGTGCTAAAACTAGTTATTTATCTTATTTTAATGTATAATATAGGAAAGACTGCCAATTAATTTGGAAGTTTCAGTTTTATTATTACCCAAAAACTGTTTATAAATTTTCAAATCAAATGATTTTTTTAATTTTTTATTAGTTTGTAATAAAGTCCCACTGTTACTACATTTTGGACAAATTTTACAGTGTTAAGTAACTTGTGGAGGGTTTTTTAAACAAAATTTTCAATATGGCTAATGCATCATTAACATTAGTGAATGTGCCATGTAGATTTCAAAATGAATCATAGAGTTCAATGTCTTTTATTATTCAAAATCATGGATTGTGCTTACATTTTTGATAAGCTTAATATTCTTATTTTGGCATTTTGATTTATGAGGTATTAGAAATTTTTTTACTTTAGTTGGAAATTTCTTGATTTCTCCTTGTCACTGATCAACTTTTTCTCTTCATATTGGAAGTTTTGTTGATATAGGTTGTGTGTGTAATTAAAATTAGCCATATTTGTCAGTAATAAAACATTTTGCCATATGGTTACGTTCATTTTATTGGTGTATTATTACACATTTTTACTAGTGTTTGTTTTAAATACCTTTCCCATTGTTTCTGAGGTTTTTCTTCTTATGGTGTAGTTTTAAATGGTGAAGATTAGCACGATAAAGTGATTGTTTTCATGTTTATTTGATTTCTCACATCTTCATATTTTATTTTTGCTTTCCCTGGAACATTATTTTTTATACCTTCTACCTTTGTTGTACTGAAGACTTCTCTCATATTTCATTATCAAACTCTCTTGCAACAAAGAAGCTGATGGTCCTTCATTGATAGATAGATAGATAGATAGATAGAGAGATATATATTATAAATGTATAAATGTTATGCTCACATTTTAAGTCATGTATTTAAATTTGTTCTTCTACCAATAACTGAACATATTCAGTGTCTTTTTGTCTTCTCTAGCATCAGAAAAGTTGAGCAGGATTTGATTTTCTTCATCCTTAATTCCCAGTAGTTACGTAGAGATCATTTGCAACGTAAGGTCCAGGTTGTTATTTTAAAGTCTTTTGTATTTTCATATAAACCAGCATACCTTGCTGATAATGCCACTTCTTTTGGCTACTATATACATCTATTGTTTCTTATAGTCATTGTTTAGTTTATTAGATACATTCTCAGTTCTTAAATAAATAAATAACATGTAGGGCCAGGCACTGGTAGCTCATGCCTATAATCCTAGCTACTCATGAGGCTGAGATCTTAAAGTTGAGGTTCAAAGCCAGTCCAAGCAAGAAAGTCCATGAGACTCTTATCTCCAATAACCCCCCAGAAAACTGGAAGTGTTGCTGGGGTTCAAAGTAGTAGAGTACTAGCCTTGAGTGAAAGAACTCAGGGACAAGCCTTGAGGTCAAGCCCCAAGACTGACCAAAAAAGAAAAAAGTATGCCTTTAACTTTCATGTCTTTGAGTGCTCTTGTGTTTTTCAGAGATCAGTCACCTGAAGCACTTTCTGACTTACATGGCTCTAGTTTCCATGTTTAGTGATTATCTGTAAAATCATTGTCACCGACCTTTGTTGGGGGTGGGGGGGAGGGAGAGACTGTGTGTATGGAAGAGAAAAAGAAAGATAGATAAACAGGCAGAAAAAGATAGAGACAGAGAATCTGTTATAAACCTACTTCATCATAAATAATTCTGCTAAATACTCTAATGTTCTTGTTTGGGCTTGGGGTTGCTGTAAAATACACATGCTCCAATTCAGAGGCCTTTTACCTGTGCTTAGGGCTACAATTTCTTTTAGTATTGATTCTCTGGGAGGGGAAGAGGCCATTTGAGCACCTCTGCCCTGTATCTGAGTGCTCCTAAGTACCTCAGAGAAGAGTCTGTATCATTTTTGCCTCATTCTGTGTGCATACCACAGAGGATCTGCCTATCAAGGAGAATGTGGATTTGGTAGATTGTTTTCAGCCCAGAAAACCTCAGCAGTCTTTTGGTTTCATTATAAATATATGTGCCAGAGTGGTATACTGCACAAAATAATGGCCTTCCAAAGGTGTATGTATACTAGTCCCTAGAAATTGAAAATGCATTAAATGGTATGACAAAAGGGACTTAGCAATAATGATTAAGGATCATAAGATGGAGATATTATCCTGGCTTATCAAGGCTTGCTCAAGGTAATCTCAAGCGAGAAGCACGAGAGTTAGAGTCAGAAAGGTACATATATTACAAAAGCAAAGTTTGGAATCACGCATTTTGAAGATGAGAAAGAGGTCATGAACCAAGGAATTAGGGATGCTTCTAGAACTTGGGAAGGCAAATAAATGAATATTCCTGTAGAGTGTCCAGAAAGGACACAGTTCCGTCAACACCTTGAGTTTTTGCTTATTGGTTCCATTTCAGACTTGTGTTGCCTTTGGTCACTAAAGTTTTACTATTTGCAATTGCAATATAGGTGATCGTTTTGCCTAACAATCATGATTTTCTCTGGGCGTAGGTTCAATTCCCCTGGTATATTCAATGCTGCATACTCTCAGATGAGCCAGCCAAAGTTTTTGCATTTCGCCTTCCCTGCCAACGTGTAGAGGAGGGACCGGTAGTGTAAGACATTTCACATAGAGAGAGCCAGGATGGTTTGCACATCCATGGATTAATGCTGTTGAGTTTTGTTTGGTGCTAAGGTGGGAGAATGGCTCCAAAATACAAGTGGTGCTGGAGAAGAATTGAAGTGTTATTTTAGAAAGGTGCAGGGAAGGAAGCAAGCAAAAGAAAGGCTGCCAACTTTAGTTACCGCCTCCAAAAACATGGTCTCCTGGCTCGTGCTGACACTTATCTGAGCCTCTTTCAGGGAAATAAACCTCTCCAGATTATCTTTCTGGTTCTGAACTTCAATTTCTACATCTAAAAGCAAATTGCTCTGTTAGATATGTGCTAGTGCTTTTGACAGAC